TGGAACAAATGAAATTGATTCCCAAGAAAATGCAGATGGTAAGAACGCCAATAAATGTTCATTGTGAAGACTCCATGACTTTTTTTCTTCTCTCTACAGTCTTTGTTTATCCATTACCAAAACTGCATTTGGGCATAGTATTTTATCAAAAAGCTTGTACAAACATTTTTATACAAGCCCTTTAACATCTAGTGGCTCCCCCAAAACTTTGATGTCCTGAAAAATCTAATTATTACTGGTAACTTTAAAAGATCACAGTAATTTATTTTTGTCAAATGTGACTAAAGATTAATGGATACAATCAGGAATAATTTGGTAAAAACATATCAAATGCAGAGAAAGCAAAATTTGTTGTTAAGTGAAGCATCAAATATAATAAAAGAGCAAATTCCATGAATGAACAGCAACAATGCACAATTCATTAACCAAATGCCCATGATTATTTCACACTTCAGAGGGCTACTGATATGATCAAGACTTGTTGTAAAAGGATAAATATAGATTACCTTCAGCATATCCTTATACATTTTAATTATAAACACTACCCTCAAAGGGCTACTAGCATAATAAAAAAAATACAAACTAAGGTTTGCTCATCTTTATAAATCAGAATTATGTATACATAAAATAAGACAATTATTTAAGACAACAATCAATATACTGAAGGTATTAAAAGTATATCATTTTCTTAGCTGTTATTAATTATAAATATTAAAAACCTAATCAACATTCAGGGTCTGGAAACTCTTATCTATTCAAAATCATCATCATCAACACCATCATCATATCATCACCCACAACCATCTCTAATACACTGGCTAATACCCTGATCATTACTGGATGGTCTTCACTGCCCAAAGAAAAACTTTATTTGTTCAACAAATCTTAATAAATTGTAAGCTCCTTGAGGTCAAAGCCACACTTACTAGTCTTTTGTATTTTCAGAGCTGGTTCAGAACTTGACTCACAAATAGCCAGGTGCTATAGCTCATACCTGTAATCCTAGTATTTTGGGAGGCCAAGGTGAGAGGATTGCTTGAACCTAGGAGTTTGATACCAGCCTAGGCAACATAAAAACGTTATCTTTACAAAAAAATTTTAAAAATAGGCAGGTGTAGTAGCACATGCCTGTGGTCCCAGCTACTCAGGAGGCTGAAACAGAGGCATTATCTGTGCCCAAGAGGTCAAGACTGCAGTAAGCTGTGATCATGCCACTGCACTCCATCCTGGGTGACAGAGTAAGATCTGCTACAAAACAAACAAACAAACAAACAAAAAAACTGCTTGACTCACAAACAGTATTATTTTGTTTTGTTTTGTTTTTGAGACAGGGTCTCACTCTATCTCAGGGTGAAGTACAGTGGTACAATCACTGCTCACTGTAGCCTCGAACTCCTAGGTTGAAGCAATCCTCCTGCCTCAGCCACCCAAGTAGCTAGGACCACAGGTGTGAGCCACCATGCCCAGCTAATTTTTCTATTTTCTGTAGAGGTGGGGGTCTCACTACACTGTGCAGGCTAGTCTCAAACTCCTGGCCTCTAGCAATCCTTCTGCCTCAACCTCCCAAAGTATTGGGATTATAGTCATGAGAGACAGCACCCAGGGTAGTACTATTTTAAATAGCAAAAACAAACAAACAAACAAAAATGTGAAAACAACATAAAGAATCATTAAAAAGAACATTCTGGCAATCATTTTCTCCCTTAAATTCATTAAATAGAAATAAATGAAATGGAATTTTGCCATTAAAAATATGAATACTATAAGCATGTAAAGATTAATTAAATACACTGTTAGGTTAAAGAATCACACTGCAAAAGAGTAACAATAATACAATTTTGTCTGTGTCTAATTCTCAATTCTGAATTCTACACTACTGTCTTATTATCTCTGCCTCTACTCTCAGCAATACTGAACACACACACACACACACACACACACACCCTACATGGATAATACATTTACATATTAACCCCTATTCCCTATCACATTCTCTATATGGCAAACCTTTTCTGCACAAATGTCCCTTACTCTCACTATAAGTAGAACATTTCACTTTGTGTTTGCTTAAGAATAGCTCCTCATACTTACACAAACTCACTTTTTTATGTCTTAGAATCTTACCTTCCTGCCAAAACATGTCTGACATCCCTTTCCTTATATTTTCACAAGACTTTGTTCCATATATTTGCCTTCTATTACTTAATATTAAGGTTCTTCCCCTAAATGATTTTTTCCTCTGAGTCTACAGAAATAGTTGAATCACTCCTATCTTGGGAATAAAAAAAAAGAAAAACCAGAAGGAAGTAGAAAAAAAAATCCTTGAATATATTGCCTCTCACCTCCCTTCTTTATATCCTACCACACCACCAAGTTACCTCCTTTCTATTTTCTTTTTCTCCAGATCTCTTGAAAGTTTATGCCCATGTCTGGTCCTCCCTCATTGCCAGTCCATTCCTCATAACCAAACCACTTCAGTAGCTCAAAGAGACCTATTCAATAATACCCAAAGGCCTTCTCTTTGCATACCAGATTCAGCCTGCCTTTCCACTCTTCTCCCATGTTCTCTCCTGTATTGCCTCATGCTCTAAATTAAAACACATACTGTCTTCCACATATACTGGTTCTATGCTATTTCCTCCTGTATGTTCCCTCAGACTGGAACACTTTCAGAAAGCAATGTTTGCCTATCAAAATTTTATCTATTCCAAATCGGCAGCTTTCCCCCTCCTGATCATTCTATTAGATATGACTACCCCTGACTGTATGTATCCACAATGATCCTTTTAAAAGACACATACTCTCTATCATCTTATCTATGTAAACTGGCACTACAGAACTGTGAGCACCCTAAAGGTACCGACTCCATAAATCATCTTTATATTCTCATGTAGGACCTTGCATACTGTCATATATACAACAGGCACTCAGTGAGTATTGGTGGAACTGAAATTTTAAAAATGGCTATATGTTTCATAGCATGAAAATAAGTGGAAGGCCAGGCACTGTGGCTCACGCCTATTATTTTAGCACTTTGGGACGCCGAGGTGAGAAGATTGCCTGAGTTCAAGACCAGCCTGGGCAACTTGGCAAGACCTCATCTCTACAATAAAAATCAAAAAATTAGCTGGGGGTGGTGGTATGTGCCTGTAGTTCCAGCTACTTGAAAGACTGAGGTGGGATGATCACCTGAACCCAGCAGGTTGAGGCTGCAGTGACCGTGAGCATGCCACTGCACTCCAGCCTGGGCAACAAAGTGGGACTCCGACTTGAAAAAAAAAAAAGAAAGAAAGAAAAGAAGTGGAGATACATATAAATAAACGTTCCTGAATCCTACCAGAGAAATGATACCCTTTAACACAGAAAGTTGCCACCAAATAAATTCTAGTATCTAGGAGGCATAGTCCCAAACAAGATTTCATATTATGTTGGGAATGTCTCTTTTCTTTCTACCCTCCTTTCCAGGTCAGGGGGAAAAAAGCTGAACTCCAATTATCTTGAGAAAACTATAACTGTTCTCCCACATTCTTTAGCATGTTCAAGGATAATCTGGCTCAAATTATATTCCATGGTTGGAGACAGAAAATTCTATGAAAATTGAGGCCAACTAGATAACAGAGTAAATTTCCTGTGCTTATATTTTGAACATAGCATTATTTAGATATGACAAAAGGGTATTAGGCTGTGATGTCTATATGAACCAAAACTTAAGTGTGAAATCACAGTTATTTAAAAGTTCTTTTGTTGTTGTGTGCTTGGACTTCTTTAAATTTATTTCATCTCCATGAGAATACATCCTACCAGGTATATAAGGTAACTAAGTCTAGAGTGACTATAGTAGTAATTTAATTGACCTGAGAAGAATTATTCCTTGTAATAAATTATTCAAACATGAAAAATGTAATAAATATTGAAGTTTATAGAGAAACCAGAATAACCCAGAGTCAAAATTCCTTGCACTAATACCCAGCCTAATTCATACATCCAAGGATATCACAAAAGATTATTTCTCCAGGACAATTGGTTCTAAAAGCCTTTTACCTTCTTAACAACAGCAGCTTTAGTGTCATCTATATACAATGTATTAAGCTTGTACTATGTGTGACAATCACTGTTCTAAGTATCTTCTCGATGTTCTAAGTAATAAGCACATTTAACCCTCACAACAATCATTCAAAGAAGATATTTTTCCTCATTTGAAAGATAAGGAAGCTTAGAGAAATTAAGTAATTTGCCCAAATACACACACACACACACACACACACACACACACACACACACACACACCTGAAAAGGAAGCTAAGCAAAGATATGTACCCAGATTTCCTTGACTACAAATTCCATACTAATACTCATAGGCAAAATAAACTTATTATTTTATTAAATATATTTTATGCAAGAGCATTGGCATTCCAAACAAAATTTAGTTTACATGTCAAGTTTCCATTGTTAAGGACCTTCTCATCATTCTTTGCAATAGCAGACAGGGTGATGGAGACATAACTATTGGTTAGCAAGAGCTTTTTACATGAACTAGTGTCCTAAACTGCAGATCATATTTTACTAGAAGAGATAATCTTAAAGACATACATGAACAAAAAGATTATCTCAATAATTATTTCATTTTAATAAATCTTTTCTACCTTTACTGATATAAATGTGTTTGAGGTGATATAAAAATGTTTTTATTTTAATAAATGTATTTTATTTAATATATATTAGGAAAAAAAAGTAACCAGAACATCAAATCAATGAATTCACAGGAATAAGGTTTTGTATTAAGCAAATTCTTTGAAGTGAAACAAATTACATTTAAATTTAAAGTTGTACAATGCCTGTATTTCAAAAATTGCAAAGGTGCTTCAGAGAATAGAGAATTAGGAAACAAACAGAAATATAACTCCACTAGAGTAGACTGCATTCTGTGCACTCTATACATTATATTGAAGAGGGAGGATGAAACCTTTCTCTGTGTTACATCCAGCCACATCAGGACTTACCTCTAGTAACAGCATCTAGCGCACAGCCACTTCCTGTTGCTCCTCCTCCAATAACAAGAATCAAATTCAGACGTGTTTTGCAAAGTCAGTAGCTGAGCTTCTCTGGAAGGAGGCTCCCTGTTAACAGGTTCTGAAATGAAGTCTGCTGCTTCAACATAGGCCAAATTCACCTGATGTAAAAGTAAATCATTTTCAGTTGCTCATCTGGAATGCCAATTTAATAAATTTTACACTGTACTAAAAGAAGACATTTGCAATGGAGATAAGGAATGCCAGAACTACACTATAGTTCATAGTCTACACAGAGTTATAAAACCCACTGCCTTAGAGGGAAAAAAAGTCCTTAAATCTCTGGGTATTTATGTCCATGAGTCACAACTATTTAGCCATGGAACACCTGGTTTCAGATTCAATATGTCGATTGCTTGTTTTGGTTTCATATACAGCCAAGTTCAATTATTTCCAACACTGTATAGCAATTCTCAAATACCTTATCTAAGGCAATTTATAGAGGAACACACGGAGATGTTTTATGCAGTAGCAGCAATCCATTCAAATAACATTTTTAAGTGTTTGAAGGAAGATGAAAAAGTACTTTATGTCCTTCTACAATTTTTTAAAAGTAGATGTTTTTCATTCCTCAATTATCTTAACAAAAATGTATTCTAGAGTTTGGAAGTCTATAAGTTTAAGTTAGTACAATTTAAAAAATATATTTATCAGAAGTTACTATCGAGTTTAAATAAGCTATGTCCAATGAGAACAATATTTTCCAAAAGTTTTAGTCAAAGGATTTCTTATTAAATATTACAGATCATATATATTTAATGCACACCATTTCAGTTTTTGAAAACTTTAACAGTAACAAAATTATAAAGAAGGATAATGACTTTCCTTGTTTCGTTATTTTTGAGAATGTAACTTATCATTCTAAATCAAAAATGATACTAAACTTTTTTTAAAAAGGTAGTTGCCAGAAGTCAGAAGTCAGAATCAAAAACCCAGAAAAACAGGTATCTGTTTTTTCCAAAATGCTTAATACTCGGTTTGCTCAGTATACTGAGTAGTGCTGACCAGGGTTGCTCTAGTACTATTCCATGGTATGTGACTTCCATCAGCACAATCCACGATGGTGATGTTCTTCCCACTGCTATAGGGGCCACATAAGAAGCTGTGAACCACTAGGACAAACTTGTTCAAGAAGAGGTAATTGTAACTCTCATCAAGAGATTGTTCTGACCACCCAAAATAAGTGATTTTTTTAATTCTCTTACAAAATAAACCAAAGTATCCCTTACACTTTGATTTAATTATTATCAAGTCAACTAGCTTTCCATGAAAATAAACCTAGAAGTCATAGGACATATTGAGAGTACCCTGGATTACAGTCAGAGAGTCCCTTTGGGTTTAGCACTCATATACCAGAAATATGACTTTTGACTCATCTCTCTGATCTCTTCACTTGTGAAATAGGGATAAAATCCCTGTGATTTCTGTATCTTTGTATCTCTGGGTTATCCTCAGTCTAAATGGAATAGTAATATTAAAGTCATTGGTAAACAACAAAGTACCACCCGAGTTGTTATTATTAAATAATTTGATTCCCTAGTTGCATATAGTAAGGAAATTTCAAAACATGTTTTGCTAAGCATCATAAAAACAAAAGGTTACAACCAGGCATCATAATTTTTCAGGCTATTAATTCAGATGCCAAGCCACAAAAATCTTATTATTCACATAAATTCTTTTAATAATCTGCTTATAACCACTTCCTCATTTTTACCTTTACATACATTTAAGGTAACAAGCTAAATAAATGTAACAGCTAGGTACTATGAGAACACAACATGTTTTAGTTATGGTCTTTGTCTCCCATTATATAATAATAAGATGAAATAAATATAATATATTTATATATTTATTTATATATGTGTATATAAATATACATATATATATGCACATATATACAATATATGCATATATAACAACTATGTAAAAAGAACAAATGCCAAACTAGAGGGGAAAGAAAAAACACCAGACTATGGGAGGGAGAGCCTTTCCTTTGAGGGTTTCAACTGTGCCATGACAGATGGGTAGGAGTTGGACATGAGACTGACAAGTGACTAAACCGCCAGAGCATTTTCACACATCAAAAGAATTGCTGACATTTTCTGCACGGTAAGATTTCTAGAAATACTTGAGAAATAAGCTTAAAGATCATATTATGATATAGTTCATTAGTAATACCGAAAGTCCCTATTCTACTCTGTGACTATTAAATTCAACTGCTTGGGTTTCTCCTTCAGCAAGTACAATAGATCTGATGGGCTTCAATACCGCTTGTAAGGATCTCAACCTACTGGCAACACCACTTCCTTCTCCTGTCTTCACCCCCTTCCTTACCCTTCTCACCAGCAAGCCCTAACCTGTCTCTTCTTGACAAACAATAAAAAATACCTCTTATATATATTTCTCACAACTACTCTACAAATTCTTGAAAAATTTGTAAACCCTTGCTTTCACTATTCCTTGTATTCCTTACTCCTCAAACTCACTCTAATCTGGATTTTCACATACATCTCATCACCACCATCTCCACCAAAACTAATGAATGTCCACTATGCTAACAAATCCAGTACACGTTATGGGCATCTCAAAGATATCTCTCTCTCTCTCTCTCTCTCTCTCTCTCTCTCTCTCTCTCTCTCCCCCCCTCCCCCCGCCTCTTTGAAGAATCACTCACTCTTAGTTTCCTTTAGATGTCCCTCCACTGCCCAATATTAAACACCAAATTTCCTCTTAGGTCTGCCCTATGCACTCTTCTAAGATCACTAAGAACTCTTTCTCTCTAAAGAATCTCATCTACCCCATATCATCAAATATCCTTTACACCACAATAACTTCCAATGTTGTTGCCTCATTCTGGAAGCAAGATATCTAAGTGCCTACTTGGTTGTCTCGCATATATCTCAAAGTTGATCTGATGACTTCAACTCCCCAAACCTTTCGCTGTTAATGCTCCTCATCTCAATAAGAGTGCCACTATACATGTAGTTGCTGGTACCAGAAATTTTGAAAGCATTCTTGATAGTTCCCACTCTCTTAAATACCATATCTGATCAATCACTGAGCACTATCAATTCTACCTCTAAAAAAGTCTCACATCTAGTCACCCCATTTTCACTGTCACCTACTAAAATCAAGGTAACTTCCCTCTTCCCTATTCTAATGTGATATCTTCCCAAAGGTCTTCACACATTTATCCTGCCTCCTTCCAAATCATTCTCAACACTGCAGGTAGGGTAATTATTTGAAAACCCAAACAATGTCATTTCATTGTATAAAACCCTTCAAGAGTTTTCAGTTACTTTATCTTTACTCTGGTTTTTAAGACTCTTCATAGTCTTTTACAGTGGCTACAATTAAAAAAAAAAAAAAAAAAAAAACCACCAAAGGCTAGTGAGGATGCAACACAATTGGAACACAAATGTTGGTGGAAAGGCAAAATGATACAACTATTTTGGAAAACAGTTAAGAAGTATCTTTTAAAGATAAATAACACTTCGCATATAACCCAGCAATCCTCCTCCTAGATAATTACCTAAAAGAAATGAACAGCAGTGTTCACACAGAAACCTACAGGCAAATTTTTATAATGGCTCTATTCATAGTTGCCCTACCGGAAAACACTCAGAAGTCCTTCACTTGGTGAATGACTAAACAAACTGTGATACATCTGTGCAATGGAATAATAATTGGCAATAAAAAAGAACTATTGATATATATAACATGAATGAATCTCAAATGCATTATGCTAAATCAGGGATCAGCAAATTAGGGTCTCTAGCCTAAATCTGGCTGCCACCTATCTTTTGTTAACAAAGTTTTAATGGAACACAGTCACACCCAATCATTCATGGATTTGCCATGACTGCAACAGCAGAGTTGAGTAGCTGCAACAGAAACTGTATGGCCTGCAGGCCTAAGACATTTACTCTCTGGCTCTTTACAGAAGAGTCTATCAATCCTTGTGCTAAGTGAAAGAAGCCAAATTCAAGAGTCTACACACTACATGATTCCAGTGATTCTGTTCATATGATGTTCTGTAAAAGCAAAAGTATAGAATCAAATGAGAGATCGGTGATTGCCAGGGGGTAAGAATGAGGGAAATGATTGCCTATAAAAAATATAATGGAATAAGTGAAGATGATAGGAATGTTCTGCAGTTTGATCATGGTGGTCATTATGTAACTGTAGCACTTGTCAAAACTCATAGAATTGTATATTATAAAGGGTAAATTATGCTGCATTTTAAGTTACACTGCAAATTATTCCTTAATAAACTTTTTAAAACATGAAAAGTAGCCAGGAGTGGTGACTCATGCCTGTAATCTCAGCACTATGGGAGGCTGAGGCAGGAAAATTGCTTGAGCCCAGGAGTTCAAGATTAGCATGGGCCACATAGTGAGACCTCGTCCCTACAATAAATCAGAAAATTAGCTGGGTGTGGTGGCACATGCCTGTAGTCCTAGCTACTTGAGCTGTTGAAGTGGATCATCTGAGCCCATAAGGTCAAGGCTGTGGTGAGCCATGATCCTGCCACCATACTCCAGCCTAGGCAACAGAGTGAGACCATGACTCATGTGCCAGAAACTATTAGTTAAGTACAATGATCTTCACTGTACAGAAGAAGTACCTGAGACACAGAGAAGTTCAGTAATTGGTCCATAAAGATACAGCTAGTTTATAGTAGAGCTGGAAATTACACAGCCTGGCAACACAGACTAAATCTGACACTACTACACCATACTGATTCTACATATAATTTGAGAAAAAAATAAAAAAGCAAACTAAATAGTTATAATAGAAAGAGATATAAACAGCTGCCAAATGCAGAAAGTTTTTTGGGTTTTTTGTGTGTGTGGGGGGGGCGGGGGTTGGTTTGGTTTGGTTTGGTATGGTTTTGTTGTAGAGGTTTCACTGAACATTCCCTCCCAATTTTTTTTTTAAATATACAACTATTGAGAGTAATTTATTTAATTTTTGACGCTCCTTTTAAAATAACATCTTATTTTTGTTTATTTTTTTCGTAAAAGCTGCAAAGTGTTGCAACTGAGAAGCCAAGCACCACGTTTATTTTAGAGGCAGTAAACACAGCCTAAGGCCCTAC